TCTATTCTCTCTCTCTCTCTCTCTCTCTCTCTCTCTCTCTCTCTCTCTCTCTCCTATTTTACCTTGTTAATAAAATTCTTTCTCTAGTTTTTCTTGTTCTTGTGTCTTTTTTCTCGTCTATTTTTATTTGCTTTTCTCCCATTGGAATGTTCTGCATTGGAGTTCGATGGTGATAGCAATCAGCAATCATTCACATAAAGATATTTTGCATTTACATATATTTTTATATATACTCTTCTCTGTACCTAATTACTTAAGAAACTTATTTTCCATAATCTTTATATGCACTCCGATAATGTATATAAACTATGTACAAAACAACGACAAAGTAGATTTAACGAGCGGAAACTTTCCGTGGAAAATGATGTTGAAGAACAAAATAAACTATTTTTATTATCTCCTCGCGATTCTTCCATTATCGCAATCGATAATAGTGAGAGTGACAATGATAATCATGACGATACTAACAATGGCGATAATGATAGTGACGATAGTAAAAAATGATAATATATTGTTATAATTAATCAATATTATTAACGATAATAATAATAATTGATAAACTCATAATCCGAACGACATAGTTATCACGTAATCCGCATATAGTTGCGTTTACATCTACCTTCGTACACTAATTAATGAAGAAAATGATTTCGTGTTTTTCGTGAGAAAAGAAGTGTCGTCTGAAAGGAATAACGGAAAGAAGAAGAAGAAATAGAAGAAGAACGCGATCCTCTCTTAAGTAGTACTGTACGTACATTAATCATAATAATAATTAGTGTTCTTTGGTAACACAGTGATACGTCCGGAGACCACGAATACGATTGTAACGTATTGTCCGATCGTGACAAGATGGTCCCGAAATTATACTCTCGATCACTACGCTCCCTCACTCCGAAAACGACTCTGGTCTAACTATATTACGACCACAGTTGTACAATTATTGTTAATTAATTGATTAGCTAATTAATCTCTACTGACGAGGCCTCTGACGCGTCGCCAATAAAAAATCCATCTTGTCTTGCGACCTACGTATTATGTACACGTGTATCAATGCGCGGACGCATTTTGTCTCTATATACACGTATGACTGTTTGCAAAATCTTGATCCGTAATCCGCCATTTGCTCCAAAAATGACGAGAGAAAATTTTGATAGTCCCTAAGTAAGATTCGTTACACTTTCATCACGTCGTTTTTGTATCTCGAAATCGATCCTTCATATGCACATCAGTTTCATATGCACGCCACTCTCGAAGTAAATGGCGCGATTCCGCCGCGCGGAATTGATTGCGGTCTTCTCGCGCGCGAGAGTAACTATTTCTCATCATATATATATATATATATATATCATTTACGTCATATGTACATAACGACAACAAACATATTATAGCGAAATTACCGTTCCGTAAGAACACACGACAGCTTCTTGTCGGCCGTCATCGAAACGGTGAATATACTTATAAGTAGATTTACGGAGCTCTCACGAACGGTTTTTCGAAGCTTTTACGAATCTGAGTAGGAAAAAATGATGTAAAATGCGCGTGTTCCAACCGCAAGAAGTTCCGGGAGGCTTTCGTCCTCGTTAGAAAATACTAGCTTGACTTGTTCTCCGGATGCTCCTTCCCTTTTCAGTATTCTTTCTCATACTCGCGCACGCAATTCTTTCTCGCCATTATCATCCTTTAACCTTATCATTAATTAAGTAAATATCTTTTTTTTTTTATGTACACCCTGTTCAAATAGTTTCCTTAATTCTAGAATTAAAAATATCGCGATATAACGCGCATAGTGACATACGCAATTGTTTATCATTGTCTGTGGAACTGTTTTGTTTTTGGCGTGTCTTTAACCGAACTGTGATAACGTATGACAACAAATCCGCAAGATCGGACACTTTTTAAGAAACGTTTTCATTTGATGCTCGCAATATGCTCCTGAATATTATTTATCCTTACAGTATTCAAAACAGCAAAGATAAAGTGAGTTCCAAGTTACGAGCGTCAAATGGAATACGTATCTTTAATAGCGTGAATCTTTCATCGCGATTATAGCCTCTCGACTTTTTTTCTCAAAAACAATCTTCTTACATACATTATAAAGTAGCTCGATTGAGTTCTCAAATTATCCTCAAAGTCATTTCAGTTGCAAATTGCGATGTAAATCTATAGTATGTAATCTTGCTCGTTTGTTGGATCGAATCGATGCGTTTGGCTCGCTCAAGCGGATCGTCTTGCGGTAAGAGATGAGTTTATGTAGAATACAATTCATTGTAGAGTTGTCGACAGAGAGTGACGGCAGACGGTCTTGAAGAAACGATCCGCGTTGACTCCGACATTACTCCGGATTCTCATGAGTGCTCTGATTGTGTGTTTGTGTGTGTGTGTGTGTGTGTGTGTGTGTGTGTGTGTGTGTGTGTGTGTGTGTGTGTATACTAACTTGTGTGGTGTATCAATACTCGCATCGCTTTCCCTTCGATCGTTGTGACTACGAGCCAAGCTGTCTAACGCTGGCCAAATAAACGTAACTCTATGGTTGATGCAGCAACAGTTGCTCCAGCTCGTCAGCGGACCTGAGCAGAAAGGCGGCGGATTCTCGATATCCACCTATCAGTTGTTTCACAGCGTTCAATTCCATCGAATTCAGCTTGTGACTCAGCAGCGGCTTGGATGGGTTCTTCATGCTAAGGTCTGTCGGTCCTGCAAGGACAAAAACGAATTTGAACTCGATCGCGTTCGATCACATCCCTGTGACGTGTTTTCAGGGTTTAAAGAAAAGCACGCACGATGGTACGAGATGAACTTTCATGCGAGCCGCGATAAAAAAATAGCGGATTAAAGCGGTATTGTTTATATAGCAAGAGAAGTGCATTCATGCATTCATCCACATACATTAGATCGTTAAACGTTAAACACTAATAAAATATTTGAAACTTAGAACATAATAAAATAAAAATAATAAAATAGTAAAATAAAAATAATAAAACAAAAATGTCTTTATGTTATCAAAGCGTTTTATATACCTTGCTCAAGCGGAAGAAATAAATTATCAAAGTTCCAATTGTTTAAATCCCTATTTAAAACCAATATATCTAACAAAGCATCACTTTGTATACCATTGGTTAGTAGACTCGATGTGAAACTCTGGGTCGGATATAGTCCGGCCGAGAGGGTTGGTGGTACCGTCGGGCCAGCGCGCTGGAACGCTTGGCTGAAGTTGGGCCTGTACATTGTCGGTGCACCGCCGCTGGCAACACCATTCACCGTCGAACTGACTATCGTTGATTGGCTGAAAAACGAAAACGAAATAAATGAGAATGAGATGCGCATTAACGATAAAGGTCGCGTCGATTAGCGCTTCACATTCTGTTAAGGACGCGTAACCCGCGTTTGACGAGAGGCCGTCCGATGAATTTTTGTGCCATGACCTGTGACCGCAGGCGAAGTCTTATCTAGAACTCGGTCGATTCGACGACGGGGATCTTGGCGCCGATAGCAATAATCAGTTACGGTAATTCAGGCAGAAAGTAAGTTAAACCGTAATCACGCCAGGCGATATAATGGTAGATTTTTTTTTTTTTTTTTTTTTGCCAAACGAACAGTTAATAACAACTCGAGTCGACGCGGTTGCGAGTACGGATTGAGGGAAAAGTTTATTTGCGCCTTACATCGAATTAGTTTAGGCCTGATATCAGCGGGCGATTAATTGAGAAGCGGATAAGAATGTGGCTTTATTATGTCGTCGATTCAAGAAAACACGGATTTCATCGCTGTCATCTTTGGCGTAACTAGTTCATCATACTGACCTCATGAGACTCTTGTTGTCTGTTGTGAGCAGCTTTGACGCGGATGCGATCGACAGCGGGGTGGAGGAGATGGTGCTGCTCGGTAAGTTCGCTAAACTAGTCAGCGGTGCTAGGGATGTTAACGATGCCGGGGGTGTGTCCTCCCTTTTACACGGAAGCGATTTCACCGGTGTGCTCGAGAAATGCTCCAAGCTTGATCGAACATCCGTTTGCTGTAATTAACGTAATAAAGTGAACTATTGTATCAATCACATATTTTGCGTAATTTGTAATTTACATGCGCGTATAATTAAAATATACATGCCGAAGAATATTTTTTTATACATAACAAGTACTTAATTTCGAAAACCTGATTCCTTTCCCATTTTTCATGCATATTTGACAATAACATGATCGTTTATTAACCGAACGTTTGTAATAATTTCTCATTTGCGAAGAGCTTCTCATCTTAAGAGAAGTAATAATTATTTACGCTATTTTTTAAGCGTTTTTTAATTCCATCCTCGCTAATACCGATTGAAAAATAATTTAGTTACGCTATTAGCTCGTACGCTAGCATGTGTGAATGAGATTTAATGACTTCATGTATCTTTTTAAATCCGATGAATTTCTATAGGCTTATTTTTATATTAACATCCTCTCCTATAAAGCTATACGTTCTTAACAATAATATATTTGAAAAATAACATTTCACGGATACAGATATCATTTATAAAACTGTCGATAGTTGTTACTTTTGACGTTATCACAATTATGTGGAGATATTGAAAAGCGATGGCGGATCCGTTATAATTGTACCTGTTGAATTTGATCGTGATCGCGCACCAGCTTGTGAACGACCGGTAGATTCTTTTTCCTCATGGCTGACACGATCGAGAATAACGAACCAATGTCTCGCAAGCACGTGACTAATCAGCAAGCAGCACCGACACTTATCGATCACCTTACGAATTATCGATCATCAGCCGCGAGGATCTCCCTCGACCCGAGTTAATCGAGCCTCTTATTATATCGTCTATCCGCGATCTCGTTATCAACGCGATCCCGATCATCGAGCACGATCGCATTCGCCGCTATGAGCAACCGAGCGGAACAAAGCGCGCCGGGAGTTTCTTCACTTCGATTTCCTCTTCTGCTTCTTCTCCCGATCCTCTTCCACTTCTGCGTCCGCGCCCCCCACCCTGCCTACCAGCGACGTATCGATACGATAACAATAACGTCCGCGTTTACTCGAGCGAGATTCAGAGAAGCGTGGACGTCGTTTCTCTGATCGGCGAAGGAAAGGAAGGGAGGAACTGGAAGCGAAGGAACAAACAGGGTGAGGAAAACGCGAGTTGACACGAGGGAGAAACGTCAGGAGCAAGAAGAGAGAATGTCCGGATGCGCTGGGACGAGACGACGAGGCGTGAGTAAGCTCACGGGAGGAAATTAATTCGTGGAAAGAGAGAAAGAAGTGAAGGGAGTGGAGGGCGAGCATGAGAAAAGAAAGAGGGATAGAAACAGAAGAAGAGGACCACGGTGAGAGCGTCGAGAGGTGGTGATGTACGTTTCCACCACAGAAACGAATGACTTGTCCGGCGAAAGAGAGGATCGAGACGCAGAGAGAGGGTTGGTGAAGAGCGGTAGTAGAAGGAGGAGGAGGAGGAGGAGGAGGAGGAGAAGGAGAAAGAGGAGGAAGAATGAGAAGAGCCGAGAGAGATCATGAGGAGCGCGGGAAAAGAACTCCGGCACGACGAGAGCACGGAGGAATGAAATCTTCGAGCGGCGTAGAACGGATGTAGGGAGGTGTTTTTATGAAAGGCCAGCAGTGTGCGTTGACGTCAATTATATAGGTGGCCACGGAGGAGCAGATAG